TCCGTGGGCAAGACCTCCCTGCCCAACGCCACTTGGCACTAAAGGCAGCTGCAGATGAGCACTGCAGCAGCGGCGCTTGGCTCGTGCTCAGTGCAGTACCTTGAGTTGCCTTGCGGGTGTGCACCCTGCGTGGGTGTCTCAGGCGTGCACCCTGCGTGGGTCTCTCGGGTGTGCACCCTGCGTGGGTCTCTCGGGTGTGCACCCTGCGTGGGTGTCTCGGGTGTGCACCCTGCGTGGGTCTCTCGGGTGTGCACCCTGCGTGGGTGTCTCGGGACAAGAGCGGCAGACCTCCAGTCTGGTGAGAGGTTGGTGGGTCACGGGATGCGCCTGAAAAAGCCAAGAGCATCTTCCAACAGCCGTGGTGTGCACCCTGCGTGGGTGTCTCGGGACAAGAGCGGCAGACCTCCAGTCTGGTGAGAGGTTGGTGGGTCACGGGATGCGCCTGAAAAAGCCAAGAGCATCTTCCAACAGCCGTGTCCTCTCCCCCAAGGGGAATGAAGTTCTCTAGCAGCCAGCGCTGAAACAACTGCGGAGGAGAAACCTGCTGAGAGGCTTGGCTGAGGGGCCGGGCGCTGCTGGCACCCTGGCCAGCCCCAGCCTCGCCTCAGCCCTCGGCCCCGGAGCCTCCCCTCTCAGGAGCGGCTCCACATCAGCCTGGCCGGGCCCGTGCCGATTCCCCGGGGGTGGCAGAGCCCGGCTGCGACGGAGCGACGCAGGCTGAGACTGGGAGGAGTCGTGACAGCAGGGAGCAGCTCCAAAGAGGCAGGCAAAATCCCACCATGCCACCCCAAGAGCATCGACCTCCACCAGCACCTTTCACCCAAGCACCCGGCAGTGCTGTCACCCCCACGGGACCCTCCTGGGTTCCCCTGGAGTTCAGCTGGGAAGCAGGGGAAGCAAAACAAGCAGACAAGCAAAAAAGGCAAAAGGAATGGAAAAAAGGTCTGGTTTTTTGGCAGCCCCAAACCAGCCAACATTACAAATWWTTTTTCTTTTTTAAGCATTTTCCTCTCCCACCTTCCTCGAGCTCTGCCRGGTCTGAGCACCCAGTGCTCTGCCCTCCTCGTGCAGGCGAGCAAAGCGAGGGGCCGCTTCCCCTGCACCTGGCCCGCGGCAGCACCTCGGGGCCAAGGCACCATCTCCCGGTGCCCGCCTGCACCGCGCCACCGGAGCGGCCAGCGAGGCCCCCGGGCGGCGGCGAAGCCGGCGGCGACGGAACCTCCGCCGCCGCCACGTTCCTTCCCCAAACAGAAGGGGCCGGGGCCCGGCAACGGCGCGGGCAGGCAGGGCGCCACCGAGCCCCGGGCATGGCGCGGCTCCCACCACCCGCTGCCGGAGCCCTGTGCGCGCCCGCCCGGCCCTCGGGCCTGCCCGACAGCCTCTCGCCCGCAGGTGGGAGCCGCGGCCACCGCTGGTGCCGGCCCGGGSACGGGCTGCAGGGGCACCATGGCCCTTCTCCCCCCGGGCGGGACCCTCCTCTCGCTGCTCGCTTTCCGCAGGCTCCCAACACCTCTACCCACCTCCTGGCCACGAGAAAGAGCCCCTGGCGGCGCCGCCGGCAGGTAGGGCTGAGCACGGGCGGCTGTGGCCGTTCGCTGYGTGCGTGCACCGCAGAGCGCGCCCCGCAGCCCCCATTGCTGAGCGTGGGGCAGCCAGAGGGGCCCGGGCAGTGCCGGAGCGCCGAGCAGCCCCCGGGGACACGGGGCTCAGTGCATGTCCCCACGGGTGCACGGGCTTGCCCTGGGCTCCCCAGGTCTGCAGATGGCTCCGTGCGGCTGCTTCTTCGACCCGCGCATCTACCACATCGAATGGGCGGCCACGGGCTTCCTGCAGCCGCCCGTGTACAAGCTGGGCGGCGG